CCCCAAAACCCCAAAACCCCAAAACCCCAAAACCCCGGGAGTAGTCTTTGCTATTGAAATTGTATATGGAATAATTAGACCATTTTAATAATTGTGCGCTTATTCATGTAAATTATTAAGAATTGATAAAGTTGGCTTTTAATGATGGAAACAGCAAAATTTATATTATTTTTAATAAAGTGTAAGGAAAAGTAAAGGACACAACTGGTTTGGATTAATTTTATGATTAATACCATATTTTCACCTTTTCAAGTCCTCCTTCTGTAAGAATTATTCTGGCATCTTCATCCTTAATTCTACTGAAACTAAGGCATATTCTATTGAGACTTGTTTTTAATCCTGGATAAGTCGCCAATCCTATTATTAAATTCCTGAATTGCTCAAGATTGTTCCCCCAATCAGAATATTCTTTGTTTCCTGAACCATTAAAATCTAATTCATTTATTTTTGAATCTCTTAATAATCCGGAGAATCTCAGAGGAGTAGGCACTGAAATTTTACAGGACCAGAGTCTCATTCTTTTCACATGACTGTAAGAAGCTAGGAGTCTCTTAAGCTGTTTATGGTTAATCCAAAATCTCTCAAGTACTATCTGATTTCAAACTCTTGAACTATTTCTGATAATTCCTGAAAAGCAAAGAGACATATTATAAACTTTCTCGCTTGCCCTGCGTATTCAGAATAAATCTACTACAGAGGGAAATGACGTGTAGAGGAAATTCTCTAGGTCTTTATTTTTCTTACTTTCCCAGAAGCCAAGGCCTTGTACTGCAAAAAAATTGAGAAAGGGCATCTTCTTTGTAAAAACCAAACCTGAAAAATGATTTAAACAAATAGAATTTGCAAAGGATATCTGCTCTCGCTCAGAGCTAGAATTTGATTCTTCAAAATAAACTTTGTCTATAAAACAATTGAAACAATGGCTTTTGAAGAGCATGCTCTCAACTGTTCTGTTCCTCTCGAAAATCAATTTTTCAATCCTATATGTTAAGTTCTAAACACAAGAAATCTCAAGGCATCTTTAGGTTTATTAAAATCAGGAGATACTTCACAGCACGGGCTAGTTTTTCTAATTCTTGTAAAGCTTAATTTTAGAGTACTTTTTATTCAAAGAGCAATTAATATAAGACTTCAGCTTAAGTTTTAATCACGAAATTTTGAATAAATTTCATCATTCTTTCACTAAAAAGAACATCAGAATTTCTCAGATTTTAAAAATCTGTAAACTTTTTGATAAATTATCTGGTATGGCAATTTTGGTAGATTATAAATAGGATACAACAGAGTATCAATAATAGAAATACATTTGGAACTAAAATTCATGAAGATTGATCATTTGAGTAGCTCTACTAAACCTATAAACTCCAAGAATGGAAAAGAATACCATTAACAATCCTTAAGGACTTACTCTAACAACGCTAAACAAAAATTATGCCATAAAAGTTGGCAACATCAACCCTAAACTTACTCGAAGCTTTGTAAAGTGACTGATTGGGCCAAAGGAGAAGATTTTTCCATTTTTATTATTTAATATTTCCATTATTTATTCTTAACCCGGGGTTTTGGGGTTTTGGGGTTTTGGGGTTTTGGGG